CGTGATGACGTGGTGACCCGAGAGAGGTTAACGCGGTTGGTGCGGTTGACCGGGACGTGGTGGACGTGGGGATCTGGTGACGTGGTGACCGTATCGGCAGAGAGAGCCGTGCAGCGGTTGCGTACCCCATCAATGCTGTGAAGAAAGTGCGCCGCTCGCCGCCGCGTCCCTATAGTCTGGATCGTGGCGCCGCAGCGCGGCGTCAGCGTGGGTGCGAGCAGGCGTACAAAACATGGTGCTTTGCAGCTTACGGCTTCACGCCTGATGCCTCTCGGAATGCGAAATGAGCTGCAGCGCACACTCTCCGGCCCCATGCCACGCGCCGGAGTGGCGTGTGTAAAACCAGCGGCACGAAGCTTTCCCCCCCCCCCCAAAGTAGCCAGCTGCACACCATAAGCGAGTGGTTCAGAGTTATTACAGGTGTACCGGTTTGCCCTGGTGTCAGCTCCAGACACGAAACAAGCGCTTCTCGCCGTCCCAACCAGTAGTGGACGGTCAGGACGCGCACCGCAGCGCGGCGGCCAGCCTGACGCCTGCTCGAAGGTCGACACCGCTGAGGGCGACGCGGGCGCCTGACCGGCAGACACGGCCGGGGAGTGCTGATGCGCTCGCGGCCGAAGGGCGCAGAGGGCGCGCTGAGGGCCGGCGGCGACGGGCAGGCGCGGTCGCCATGCAGATGTGGCGGCGCGCGGCGGCCGGCCGGGTGGAGCCGCGCCGGTCGTTAGGCGTCGGCCCGGCCGAGGCCTCCCGTTAGGCCGAGAGAGCGCGCATAGATCGTGGAAGCGGGGTCGGCGGCGCTCAGTCACCCGTAACAGCCGGCCGCTGACCGTCGGCACCGCGGCCCGTCCCTGCTGACCCCGTCCCGCTCCTGGAGACCCGGCTACAGTGGCCGCGCCGTGCGGAGGAAGGCAGCCGGCGTACAACGAAAGCTGCTCACCCGTGGCACGTTCAGAGCGTCTCCCCCCCAGCGCTGAAGAGCCGACTGGTCAGACTGCATTGATGCTGAACGCTGGTACTTTGTTGGAGGATGCACTTTTCTCTGCTTATTTTTCATTTTACCGTCTATGCTATAACGCGTAGTCTGCCGAATTCAAACACGTCAAGCGTTATGGCAATGATGCACGGCTATGCGTTTGGCGCGGTCCAGTTATAACGGGTTGAAGGCAAAGCTGCATCAAAAACCGTATTTCATGCTCGTGTCTCGTACACAGCGGGATATCGCAGCCAAACACAGGATTAGTCAATTAAGCTGTAAATATGACAGAAGACATGAGTTGCTTGCTGTCATATAAAGGTGTGATCATGCCGTCACCGAGCAGCTGGAATAAAACCAAAATAAACCGTCGCTGGGTTTTCGAACCGACATTTGCAATACTTGAACTATGAATGGACTTCATCTTAGTAGACTTCACAAAATTCAGCGCATCGTCAGAAATGCAGACCTTACTTTTGATTGGTCACAAGCGATGGGGTCTTAATCCACGTCATCTCTCTCTCCTCGTCGGCACCTTCATTCTCGAAAAAACGTACCGGTTTGTCGCAGAGCAAACATTCTTAAGCACCGTTCTGCAGTTATGTTCTGTTTAATAATGCAGCGCGATTATATTCTATGAAGTGTTGTTTCCGGACCAGATAATCAAGGGTCAGGCTAGGTCACGTGTGCTAAGTTAGCACCGACGGCAATACTGTTTGGCGTTCTCTATCGTTGACCTGATCCAACGCATCGTAACCCACGTAACCGATGACTGGTGCAGCTAAACAAGGGAGTTCCAACATCGTTTGTGTCATTTTCGTATTATGCGCATAAATAGTTCACGAGGTAGCGGGACACAGCGCACTCGTACCACGAGCGTGGCACATATAACCAGATTTCACGTACCATGCGCTTGACTCACTGACGAACAGTTATCGATGTATGAATCAGAGCAACAAAGAGTTGGCGCCGCAAAATCGCATTGGCATCATTATAGCGCACCAGCTTTTGCACAAGCATAGTACACGGAGTTGTTCAGACTGAGAGTCATAACTTTTCTGTTTTGCCTGGCTTAGCTCGTTTTATATTTCTGGTAGTCCACGAGTTTTGACTGGTCAGTGCTGTTGCCGCTGCCCATGTTATTTACAGTCCGGTGTACTGAGGCCCGGCCTCCGTTCCAGGTTCCTGATAATCGCCTCGCTTTGCGCTCTGCGCGGGCGTCACGTGACCTGCCGTCGTCCGCCGCCGAGCCTCTTCAATGGCGATGACGTCGCCGGACGGGCGGGTCACGTGACCAGCAGCGGCTGGTTCCCACGGCAGGCGACGACGCCGGGCTCCCGAGAACTCAGCACGCTGATCTCGCTGGCCGAGATGGGACTCAACCACACCCAGTACCTCTACGACGTCTTGGAGCCGGATATATATCGAACAGGTGAGGGAGTCCGATGCTACGGCCTGACAGGGCCGGCGCCAGGGACGGGTGACGAGCAAGGCCGAACTGATTTCGAAGGGCTACCGATTATCTTCGTTTTAACTTCATTTTCACCTCAATTGGAACAAAGGTGAGAATTTGCCATAAATGCAACTGTATTTGCATTTTGAAACCAATTAATGAAATGAAGTGGGCGTTGAATAACTGCATTAAGTAAATCGCCGGCGTCATTTTTTGCGATCATTCAGTCAACTTTTTCTAAGCCGAGAGTACCCAGAGGCTTTGTCAGAATTCTCGTTCGTTCTACAGAGACATCGAGGTCACCGTGAACGTAGATTATAGGGCAAAATGAGAACAACAATTTCCGTTAACATAGCCAATCAATGGTCATCTGGGAATGTTAAACCTGCGGTCAGGATTTTCTAGCGAGAACAACTTTGTAATGTAATTTTCGCCATGCGCGCTCTCAACTCTTGGAACAAAAACTTCGGCGCCAGACGCTTCAGGCTACATGGTCGCGTCGCGTCGTCTCGGCGGCTGACATCAGGCGGCGCTCAATGGGCGGCCGAAATGATGACGCATCTGGGAAAAGTAGCTTTGAGCGCTTTAGGGCATCAATTCGTACGTCCAGAAGATAGTCCGGCGGCATGCTCGGCGGCGACGTGGGGACCTCGCCACGTGCCGAGCCCAGCCGGCGCCCGTGGCGGGCCGACACGGGGCCGACGTGCCGCCGTCGTCACGTACCAAGCTCAGCCGACGCTCGCGGCGGACCGACACGGGGCCGACGCGCCGCCGTCGTCACATACCGAGCCCAGCCGGCGCCCAAGACGAGCCGGTGCGAGGCCGACGCGCCGCCGCCGTCACGTACCAAGCTCAGCCGACGCTCGCGGCGGGCCGACACGGGGCCGACGCGCCGCCGTCGGCACGTACCAAGCCCAGTCAGCGCCGACGCGGGACAGCACGCGCCGTCGTCGTCACGTGCCGGGCCCAGCCGGCGCCCCGGCGGAGAAGCCCGTCGGTTCCGCTCGCTGACGTTTTCGGAGAAACCGGGCGGCCGGCGACCCGCGGAGAAAGTGTGGAACAGCCGGCACACACGTTTTATTCGGCGGGAGCCGGCGCCGCTGGCGCGGCCGAGAGCGCTGGTGAAGCCCACAGTCGCGGTCCGGTGCCGCCGCGCCGGAACCGCCGCCCTCCACACCGGAGAAACCGGCGCGTGAGGGTGGCTGTGGCACGCGCCGGCGAGCCGTCCCCGCCGCCACGCACCTATACTTGGAATGGCCCCCGAGAAGCAAGTTATTTTTAACCTTTTGGCCGGTTGCAATGTAATTTCAAGCCTGCGCTTGTTGACGAGCTTGGTGCGATGTTTGAGCAGCTCTTTGGTTTATCGTCTCCAAGCGGGGGCCGCCCAGCGGGTGGGGGGGGGGGGGGGGGGGGGGGGGCAGACGGTCAGTTGCCCTCCACCTTACCGGAAGGCAAGGGGCAAGAGCATGTTTTTCCCTCTAAATTTTTGGGAGGACGTTTTTCTCAAACTAAAGGTATTGTAAATGCCCGCAGAGTACCAAAATTCAGATCAAGGAGACCCCCATAACTGAGCTAGAGAGTAATGGAACAGGCCTGGAAGACCCTTTAATACGTCAACAAGTTCGTTTCATTGATCATAAGACCACCTTTACGAATAAGGTAGCCCATTCGCTAGATCAGTAAGCTCAGTGTGTTGTTGAGGGGGCTTTTTTGCTGGCTCGGGAGGCCGCAATTATGAGCTGGAATGCTCTAATTCTCGGTTAGAAGACACACTCTTTATTCAGGAGGTCCCATTTCTGGACCAGAAGATCCCTTTCACGCATCAGATGGCCACGGCTTCCGGGTCAGGATACTCAGTTTTGGGACAACGAGGCCTCTTAGCTAAATTTGGAGGCCCTTTTCATCAATAGCAAGCACCCTGTTCTGGACAAGGAGACTTCTGTGTGCATCAGGAGGCTCTTTTCTGGAACGGGAAGCCCTGTTTTATGGGAACATGACCCTTCGCTGGATAACCAGAGGCCTCCATTTCGGACTTCTTAATCGCCGACATTGACTTACTTAGATATTATGCATGCAGCAGTTTGATAGAAGGGCACATGCCGTCGGTGCCCATTCTCCATGAATACGACACTGCCCAGGAGGCCTCCTGTGAGCAGGCTCCATTTTCCCCAGGAGGCCCTGGAAAACCTGCCCCAAACTCCAAAACCGTGGCGCGGCCCTGTCCCCAGGGGACATTCCTGAGACCAAAGGAAAACGGCAGATGTCACGAACGCCATGAACTCAAGCCGTGAACTGAAATGAAGTTCATGATGGGCTCAATGCACATGTTTTGCAGGGGACTTAGGCCCATGTCTTGCCGGGTCACCTGGCTATGATCTCTGAAGACAGGGAAAAACGTGCGAGTGACAACTGCAGGATTAGTGTGGTTTATTGACATTAAATCGTGCCTTTGATACCCGATCAATTCAGGATGATAATGCAGGGTATGCTGATCACTTCTGACAGACCACTTTAGATAGTTATGGATCAAGCGATTTATCAAAGCCTAATGGCCTTGTTTGGTCTCAGGTCGATCATAGGTGGCTTTTCCATTTTCGATTCAGAACGCGCTTTGTGCCTACTGATCAGTGAAATGTAGTTCCTTACTCGCGATGCTTATTTTTTCGACTCCGTGTTCAAAGCATCAAGGTTGACTTGACCTGGGGGTCACGGGTCATTCTCAAAAAGCCATGTCAGCGGTTGTTGGGATGCCTTAGGCGGTACCTGGTCATGCACTGGTCATTGTTTCGCAGCTCTAACCTAGCTATCGACTAATCATTGCTCAGCAGCTGGAGCCTGGCTATTCACTGGTCGTTGCTTCGCAGCTCTAGCCTGGCTATCTACCGGTCGTTGCCTCGCAGCTCTAGCTTAGTCTCGGGCGAAATGACGTCGGGTGGCTTCCATGATTCAAACGCAAACGACGCGAGTGAAAGCAGCTCCTTGCTGACGACGATCGAGATACTATGTAATGATGGGACTGGATTGACAAGGAAAGTTCCGCCTATAATGGCACCAGAAGGCTGATAACACGACGAGAAAGAGCACCCAGGCACGTGAAGACGGGTCGTGAGGATCCTTCTCGCATCCGCATACAAAATAGACACAGGCTCGACGGCAGCCTTGCAGGAGTCCCAGACAACCCTGGGAGAGAAAACATCCGCTGTTTGCGCAACCTTCGCCGTCGCGCGCCCCGGCAAGAGCGCTGACGGCAGGCGGAGGAGTGTTTTCTCCGCGTGTGACGGGGCTCGTGACGTGCCGCCCGTGACGGGGCAGCCGCCGGCCGGTCAGCAACCCCACCCGCTCGGCGCCGGAGAGTGGCGGCTCCTCCAGGACGGTGGCCGCGTCTGGCCGGCGAGTTTCTCTCTTTCGTCACGGCGCGCCAGTCTGCCGCGGCGCCGGTGGTCCGTCCGCTGAGCCCCGGCGTCGGTGGTCCCTCCGCTAGGGTCTCGATGCCAGCGGTCTCTCCGCTGGGGTCCAGACGCCCATGGTCCCTCCGCTGGAGCCCAGGAGTAGGTGGTCCCTCCGCTGGGGTCCCGGCGTCGGTGGTCCCTCCGCTAGAGCCCCGGAGCCGGCGGTCTCCCCACTGGGGCCCTGGCGCCGGTGATATCGATTTTTATTTGTCGTTTTTTTTTAGTGTAAGCAAAATCACGATCTTAAGCAAGTCCTGAATCTCAAGTGAATCACGAACACCTGGAATATTGCGCCTTATATGGCGGCCAGGAAGTTGTGGACTAAATCCTGTCATAACCCAGAGCGGGGGAGTAACTCCAGAACAAGATGGGGGAGGGGGGGGGGGGGGGTGGGGCTCAGAGACAGTTTGAGTCGTCCCTTCTTATGTATTGACATAGCCTAGTGCCACATGTTTCCAAATGCTGTGATGGGGAAGGTCTCAACCCCCTCCCTCCATTCCATAACACGATAGTTCCCTACCTTAATGGAGACACCCCCAGTTGCTGCTCGGCCCTCACCGGGTTATGTCAAACGTTTTCTGAATCATTGAGCGTAAGAGGACAAGGCATTACACGAAAAAATCGTCTTGAACTTGGCAAGTGTGCCGCAAATTTGTACGCACACAACTCAGGATAATGTTGCTGTAGGCGCAATCCTTTTAAGAGCATGTGCTTTCTCTACCGAGGCAGAAAATGTATGGGCGTCGGATGGGATGCTCGCTCGTCTCGTGGCTTCCACGCTGCTGATGTTGCTGTCTGTGTCGCTCAACGTCGGCTGCTCCCCCGGCGGAGAGCGGGCACCGCCGACACTCCTGATGTGGCTGTCTGTGTCGCTCCCCGTCGGCTACTCTCCTGACAGAGAGCGAACACCGCCGACGCTCCTGACGTGGCTGTCTGTGTCGCTCCTCGTCGGCTGCTCCCCTGGCAGAGAGCGAGCACCGCCGACGCTCCTGACGTGGCTGTCTGTGTCGCTCCTCGTCGGCTGCTCCCCTGGCAGAGAGCGAACACCGCCGACGCTCCTGACGTGGCTGTCTGTGTCGCTCCTCGTCGGCTGCTCTCCTGGCAGAGAGCGAGCACCGCCGACGCTCCTGACGTGGCTGTCTGTGTCGCTCCCCGTCGGCTGCTCTCCTGGCAGAGACCGAACACCGCCGACGCTCCTGACGTGGCTGTCTGTGTCGCTCCTCGTCGACTGCTCTCCCTGGCAAAGAGCGAGCACCACCGACACTCCTGATGTGGCTGTCTGTGTCGCTCCCCGTCGGCTGCTCTCCTGGCAGAGAGCGAGCACCGCCGACGCCTCCTGATGTGGCTGTCTGTGTCTCTCCCCGTCGGCTGCTCTCCCGGCGGAGAGCGAGCACCGCCGACACGGAAAGGTTTTGTTGCAAAGGAAACCATCAGGGCATCTCCACGCTAACCACTGTTGCACGCGACGCGTTGTTTCCCACAAGTATTATCATTGACGTAAGCTATCAAGTTATCATGGCGGTAATTTGTGCGTTTCAGTGATTAGTGCTCTACAAATGCACCTATATTTAAGTGTAACGGTTTTCGTGACCCAGACAAGTGCACTTTTTACCGGATCCCTAATCATGCACTACGCTATTCGTGCTGATGGTTGGTTCACAGCTCACCAGCCAGATGCCTTGTATAACAGAAATACGCGCATGTCCCGTGCAAGACACGCGGGGAAGATCACGTCCAGGAACCGTTTGCCTGTGCTATTTCTTTTTATGAGTGCCCTGGACGAGTCTGTCTAGAAATCGGAACGATTGAGGTCAGTTCACCGCCTCCTGTCACGTGGTACGGCGGCGGGCCGCCGGCCGTGGTCACGTGACAGGGTCGGCAGCCGGCGCGACGCGGCGCGGCCGGCTTGGCCAGCGCAGTTTCTCCTGGGCCGCTGACGGCGGCGGGTGGCCGGCGTGCTGCGCACGGGACTCTCCAGTCCTCAGCTCAAATGGTGAGTCGTCCGACGCTCTGACGCCTGGCTGTGTGCGGCACTGTGCCCCGTTGACCTTCCCTCCGACCTTCACGCGTAAGATATGTGGGCGCCGGGTTCCTGACGCAGGTTCATGACGGAACTTAGTGGTGTATTTGTCCCGTGGGCTGGGTGGCCGGAAGGGTGGAGCTGCATGCTCAGTAGAGCAGTGCTCCGGCTGCGCTGGCGTGTTCCACACAATGGCGCATCAGTCGCCGGCCAGAGCGGCTCGGCCGCGAGACGAGGAGGACCGTCCTTCAGACCGGCCGAGACTTCGCTCCGCGCACTCTGTCGAGGGCCCCATTTGGCAGTCAGCGTTCCGGTGGGCGCCGGCGGTGTGAGCGGTGCAGTGGCCTGTGGGAGCGTTTAACGCTCCGCAGAAGTTGACTGAACTCGCCGGCTGGTAGGAGCGGCAGTCAGTTCAGAGCCATGTGGCGTCTCCCGGTCGGGCCGGGCGGTGTCTCTCGGACGGACCGAACGGCATCTTTCGGACGGGTCGAGCAGTGTCTCTCGGTCGGACCGGGCGGGCATCTCTCGGTCGGGCCGGGCAGTGTCTCTCGGACGGACCGAACGGCATCTTTCTGACGGGTCGAGCAGTGTCTCTCGGTCGGACGGGGCGGCATCTTCGGACGGGTCGAGCAGTGTCTATCGGTCGGACGGGGCGGCATCTCTCGGTCGGGCCGGGTGGTGTCTTTCGGTCGGGCCAGGCAGTCCTTGCTTGGTTGAAAGGAATTGTGTTCTAATTTAGCCTTTGACCCCGGTGTCAGCTGGTGCCTCGGAGATGATTGAGAAGAAGCAGTTTTCTTGACTTTTAATATAGGCTCAAAATGTCTGCGAGGATTGATCATGCGTGTGTCCAGGTAAACGCCGCGGGACGGATGCGCGGGCGACGTTCATGAGAGAAGCATCTCCAACAAAATGCTGTACTCTGAGGATAGTCTGCCAGGAGTGATTACACCGAGGCGGTCTATACCTTACTTTACCAGTCATTAGCCGAGCTGCTCAACAATGTCCGACGCCTCTATTTTGTCCGGAATCGCCGTAAGTTCAGGGCCAAACTGCGTGTTTAGTCCGCTTTGCTTGCAGCGGAAAGCGCCCCGCTGTCTATCGGGACATGATCAGAAGATTTTCCCGGGCCTTTATTGGAGGGCAGCATGATATTCGTCGTACGACTGGGTGCGCTATGCTATTGACGACGCAGACTGCCAAGCTGCCTGACAGGCTGACAGACTGACAGACTACAGACTGACAGACTGACAGACTGACGGCTGCCACGGCGTTGCCGCCACGCTCTGTCTGCCCGTGACGTCAGCGTTGCGGCCGGTCCAGATGTGACGGTGGCTGGATTCCCAGCCTTGTCACGGTAGAAAGCAGCTGTGTCAGCAGTCGGTCAGGCTCGCTCCAAGTCAGTCACGATTTGGCTGGCCACATCGAACCATGTGTCTCCGGTCTCCGGAGGCCTGCGGCGGCAGCGCCGGGACGGCCTGACGGCCGCCGCGTTTACACGCTCTGAGCAGGCGCAGGTCACACCCGCCACGCCCGCTCTGGCGCCTTCGGTGGGTGGACGGAAGACCCTGCCAGATACCAGGGGAGACGATTATATGACGGCACAGCTCTGATCGAGGGCATACGCTGACCGACGCTCGCTGGACGTGTGACCGGACGGGGATGCTTATCGAAAGTGTGGCCCGACCGGGCTCCCAGAAGACATGTGATCCGATCGGGCTCCCAGAAGGCGTGTGACCGGACGGGGATGCTTATCGAACGTGTGGTCTGACCGGGCTCCCGGAAGACGGGTGATCTGATCGGGCTCCCAGAAGACGTGTGATCTGATCAGGCTCCTGGAAGATGTTTGATCTGACCGGGCTCCCAGAGCACGTGAGGTCTGATCGGGCTCCCAATGGACGTGTGATCTGACCTAGCTCCCAGTGAACAAGCCACCTCGCCAAACACCCGGCGGATGTGTGACCGGAATGAGAACGCGGTGGACGCGTGACCTGACAGAGGGCTGAACGGACTTGCCGCCTCTCGATGAGGTACTCGACGGACGCGTCAGTCGGCTGAATGCTCGGTGAACTCGCGACTTGACGTGTGACGTGGCTTAGCGTCCAGCGAACGTTGGACGTGGCCGAGTGCTCGGTGGCCGCGCCACCTGACCGTGTTCCTTGCGCCGGACCGGCCGCGGCGGGCGCGCCGGCCTGGAATCGAGGGCAGCGTTGCCGCTCGGCGCGTCCGCCTTGCGAAGTGGGGCGCGACGCCGGTGCGCCGCCGCCGCCGCCGCCGCCGCCGCCGCCACGGCGCGACGCCGGCCGGCTGTCGCCGTCGCGTGTCACCGGCGCCGGTGGTGGTCGCTGCGCCCGCGTGTCACTGCCGGTGGTGATCATCGCCGCGTCCGTGGTCAGCCCGGCCGAGCGACACTAACGGCGACGGCGTCTCCGCAGGACTGTCTCTCTCGCCCGACGAGCCGGGCTCCTACCTGGCCGCCTTCAACCGACAGCGCCCCAAGGCCAAGGACCTCGCCAAGTATGGCTACGCCAGTCTGCATACCAGCCGACTCATCTCGAAAAGGTTAGTGACGGCCAAGGCGCCGCTGGTCACCAGCGCCGTGGCTCTCACTAGAGCTCGGATGGGTCCGCGGTCAGCTGTTTCTATGGGATCACGTCAGGTGTGGTCTGATCTCGGATCTGATCTCCCTTTGAAGCGTGCTCCCGGACTTGCGGCTGTTCGCACTCGCAGAGTGCCGGCCATTCAGTAAGGCAGCTCTGTGAGGCTGCTTGACTCCGTGGCGCGCATTTGAACTCCGGCATGTGGTGGAGATGTCTGGGGTCCCGTTGTGATAATACGTGAGGTGGCTATGACCCCCGCCAGCCGCTCGAGAAATGATTAATCGCGTGGTGCCAGCCATCTGATTATGGAGGATTGTTATGAATGCAAATGGCTTCCCGAAATTATGCCCACGGCAATGGGCAATTTAACGGTTCCAAATAAGACTCGCTGGCCACATCTGGCTCAGGATGTAGACCATCTGTCTTGGACCGAGGCGATCGCTGTGGTATCATTCAAATGCTCCCCAATTGCGTTAAGACTAGGATTACTTCCTCTGTCAGTCAATGTATTCCAGAACGGGTTTGTATGGGCTGACTATTGTCATGGAGCGCATGTAATTCCCCAGTCATCCCCTCCGGGCAATTCCTTTGTTCCAAAGTGTGACACCCTTCGATCGTTTTGAAAGTCATGCACTAGGAGGACAGTTGAATTCACCAGCCCGTTGGTTTACGGTCTCCAGCGCACCTCGCTCCTCACCTTTCCACCCTGTCGGGCCGCCGTTGAAGTGGGTCACGTTTACCGGTCTACATCCGGCTCCGTTCCTGACCTACTGGAAGAGGCACGTGCTGCAGCGCTCCGGTCCAGCCGTCGGCACAAAGACCGGTCTCTTGACCGGTGCCAGCTCACCGCCGCCCGAGCGGTCACACGGCCCGCGGCCACACGCTCCGCCGATATGGGCCACTCGCCGGCGATGGCTGGGGCGGTGATAAAGACTTGACACGGGAGCGTCGGGCCGTGGGAGCTGCTCGTCCGACGCGGGGCGTGGCCGGCGCGGCAAGGCCGGCAGGTCCGGCCAGTGGTCAGAGTCTCGGGCCGAACAGCTCGGTCGCAGGGGTCACTGACCTCGGCTGTCGGCTCCGTGACCGAATCGGCCGGCGCAAGCACAGGCGCCGACCGGTGGCGTATAGCCTGAGCCCGACCTGCGGACGGCTGTGAAGGAGTGCCGGGAAAGGCCTGGTGCGCGCTGCACGGGGCGCTCTGCGACACCGGTCCCTTAGCCGCGACCGGGTCCGCCTCGCTGACGCTGGTTCAGCCGTTTAGAATCCTCTTACTGATCAGCGGCGAGCGCAGCCGTCTGTCGGCACCTTATGGATTGGCGCCGCATGCATGACTGGTTCCGTTAGCGGCCGGCAGACACGAGGGCACGGCTGCAAGCTCTGCGCGCAGGCTGCAGGCGTCACGCACGGCTGCCGGGCTGCCGGCCTCCTCCCAGGCAGAGGCGGCTGCCCAGATGTGGGCGGCTGGGTGCCGGTCGCGCTGAGCCAATGACGGGACTGACAGAATCAAGCCAGACACACTGACACAGCTTGTAGCGGTACTGAAAAGCCTTATATCCAAGTGATTTACCGCCAGCTTCTTCGGTACCGACTTCCGCAGTGTCTCAGTACCATCCGTGTAGTGAAATAAGCGCCGTTCAAAAGGGCTGGAGGTAACATTTAAGTTTTGTTTTCCAAAGCGATGGAGAGAAGTTGAAAGAGACAATTCGGATGCAGCCGGCTGCATTTCATTTGTCACCCGACGCTGTCCTGTACATTGCATACTCATGCCCACAGGGGGTGTATCACCAATTAATCACGCATTTAAACGCATGCCAGGCCATTGGCGACCGGCACCCTGGTCGGTCAGTTTGCGTGCTGGGGCTGAGGACACCAGCTTGTTGTCTCACACCGCCATGTCGGTCCCCTCTCGCGGACCCCTGAGGACCGAGTCCGAGAGTCCGAGAGAGAGTCCCCCGGGCGTCTCTCTGACGGTCGCCGCCCTCGCCAGGTACAACCTGGCCCGCCAGCACATGGTGCAGCTGCAGGAGGTGTCGGTGCGCGGCACGGGCCTCTACGACGGCTGCCCGACCAAGTCGGAGCCGGAGCCGGGCGTGTGTCCGCCGCTGTCGGTTTACTTCAGGTGGGTGCCGCCCCGCGCCGGCAGCTGCAGGCGGTGGGCCCCGCACGCCGGGGCCGGGATGCAGGGTTAGAGCGAAGTGGAGGTGGAGGTCTGTGTTGCCGCCAGCGCCGTTTGTTGGTGGAGTGAGGCAAGGCAAAGGTGTGAATAGTGACGTTTTAGGCGATTGGTACAAGTTGCGTACTGTTAAATAAAGAGGCGCATTGCTTGTTTGGTATTGTCGACAAATGTTGGGAATGAATTGCGCGCTCGCGCGTTGGTCATTCTCTATGGACGTTACAAAGTAGATAACGGTTTCAGGACGGCCGATGGCAGTTGTAACAACGCTAACAGCAGGTACCTGGGAGCCGCCATGACACCGTTCTCCAGATTCTTGCCACCACGATACAATGATGGTACGTAAATGCACAAGCGGGGTTTTTACTTCGTTTCTGTTTGGATCACTTTGTTGTGGCACATGATTGTCATAACATAATTACATTGTCAAAAGGCAGGCTGCTTGGTTTCCCTGTTCCCGGCAACCGAATCGGCCTTCATATTGCTGCAGCTGCTGTCATTCAGCGGACTGTAGATGCGGCGCCGCTGTGTCTGGGATCATTGTTGCTGCTGTGTCTGGTGCCGCTGTGTGTGGCGCGCCTGTGTGTGGCGCTTATGTGGCGCCGCTGAGCGGCGCTGCTGTGTGTGGCGCCGCTGTGTGTGGTGCTGCTGTATGTGGTGCTTATATGGCACCGCTGTGTGCGGTGCTGCTGTATATGGCGCTTATGTGGCGCCGCTGTGTGTGGCGCTGCTGTGTGTGGCGCCGCTGTGTGTGGTGCTGCTGTATGTGGCGCTTATATGGCGTTTCTGTGTGTGGCGCTGCTGTGTGTGGTGCTTATATGGCACCGCTGTGTGTGGTGTTGCTGTATGTGGCGCTTCTGTGGCGCCGCCGTGTGTGGTGCTGCTGTGTGTGGCGCCGCTGTATGTGGCCCTGCTGTGCGTGGCGAGTGTGACAGCAGGCGGTCGGCGTGTTTGGCAGGCGTCCAGACACCCCGCCGCTCTGTGGCCGATGGTGAGCCGCTGCCGTCGCCCCGAGACGTCAGCATGACTGTCCACCGCGACGTCAACCTCACCTCCACGCGCATCACCATGATGGTCATGCAGTGGGGCCAGTTCATGGACCACGATCTCACCTGTGAGTGACCACGAGCGTCACACGACGCCAGGAAAAGGCAACGCTGCCGACTTAAACATTGATTGAGACGTGCCTTGATCCAAGGCACGTCTGCGAGTTTGTCCTCGCTCTCACCATAGCTACGTTAACTCGCAAGTAATACAGCTAGATGTTGGATGCACCTTGGAAAAATGTTTGCGATTCAGAGCCTCATCTAGCACTGTGTCACGTTTGGTGCGCTGTGATAGCTCCCACCGTCTCCCTCTCTGATCCTGGCCGGTACGCTGTGATGGCTCCAGCCGGCTCCTCGCTGACCCCGGCCGCTGTGTGGATCCAGCCCGGCCTCGCTGCCCGGACGGTACACTCTTGATGGCTCCAGCCGGCCCCTCGCTGACCCCGGCCGGTACGCTGTGATGGCTCCAGCCGGCTCCTCGCTGACCCCGGCCGGTACGCTGTGATGGCTCCCACTGTCTCCCCCCTGACCCCGGCCGGTACGCTGTGATGGCTCCAGCCGGCTCCTCCCTAATCCTGCCTGGTACGCTGCGATGGCTCCAGCCGGCTCCTCGCTGACCCCGGTCGCGGGATTGCAGCGTCGGCGCAGGCGCGGGGCTTCAACGGCTCTGTGCCGCGGTGCTGCCAGGACGGCCGCGAGCTGCCGGCCGACCGGCGCCACCCAGACTGCATGCCCATCAGCATACCCAAATACGACCCGTTTTACTCCAAGTATAACCAGTCCTGCATGGAGTTCGTCAGGTACGTTTGCACCGTGCGAGTGATCTTTTGGTTGATATCGGGGAAGGGCGGGGGGGGGGGGGGGCGGTGGGGAGGGCTGTGCGCAATAGGAATTTTCAGCACAGAAATAAAGAAGGAAACAGGTTTGCACTCGCTTCACGCAAATTGATGCATTTTCTGATTGCATCAAATCGCTCTTGAATAAATTCCTTTCCATTTGAGTCGCGCACTGGAGCCGCTGATGTCTGCCTGACCGGACGTCTTGCTTCGCCCGGCTGCACATGTATGAGGTGTGTGGCACCGGCTCCGCCCATCCGGGGTCGGGCTGGCCTGTAGCGTGTGCTGCGGCGGCAGGTCGTCTCCGGCGCCCCGGCCAGACTGTACGCTGGGACCCCGTGACCAGATCAACCAGATCACATCCTTCCTAGACGCCAGCAACGTGTATGGCTCGTCTGACGAGGAAATGAACCAGCTGCGGCTCTTCTCTGGCGGTAAGGACGTGTCTGGGTCGTACTTGGGGTGACTGGACAAACCCCGCCGCGTAGATAGCAGCACCGCCAGCCAGATGGAGACCGAGTCTGGCGATCAGAGGCTGCTGAGTCATTGAGGACGTCGTGAACGCGGAAGCCAGCGGACTTGAAGTGTTTGCGCCGGCTGGTAAATCAAGGTGGACAGAAGTGAACACTGTCATAGGGTGAAGTAGCACCGAATCGAACTGCGCATCGTATGACGTTATCCAGAGGCACATTCTGCGCGCGGAGCAGCGGTGTCGTCATCACTCTGCGCGTGCTTCCTACAGTGACGTCATCATCCGGCGCGTGCTAGTGCTTGGTGAGTTTGCTGACGTGTGTGCCTGGGGTCGGCAGGCATGCTGAGGTACACCCATCTGCGGTACCGGAAGCCGCTGCTTCCGCCCGGCGACGTCAATGTCCACTCCGAGTGTCGCATGACCAGCGACAACCTCCACTGCTTCACGGCCGGGGATGACCGGGTCAACGAACAGCCGGGTCAGTATTGACGTGCAACCATACACCAACTTATTACCTGCGCTCTTCATGATGGGCACGCACTGTAGTTGCCCAGTGTCGGATATGCGTATGTCCGGAATGTCGTTGTTGCCTGTTTTCATATCCCGGAGCAACCTCTTTATCACGGCGGAGAAAGTTGCTACGAGCGTAGTGGGTGGTGAGTTGCCGGCAAATTGGGGTGCTGGTTTGCCAGATATGCCATGCCCCTCTGTTAACCTAAAACGATGTAGAGTGGGTCGTTTTTATTCTGAGCCCAGTTTATTTTGGACATAAACTTCCGGTAACTCCTCACAGTGCTGACGTGCATCTGGCGAGCTCAACACGCAAGTCACTGCCACAGGCGAACTGGCGTACACCCAGCCCATTCCTTAATTGGGAATAGTTAGTCCCAATTAGTCCGTGCAGCGCACAGCAGCAAAAAGTCGTTCGTAGATGACGACTGCCGTCTTCCACGCGACGGCCGCTGCTGGCCGGAAGCCGTCTTCGGGAACGGACTTGGGAGCCGGGAGAGTCGCTCACTCCGGCCTGGATGTGGGTCAATCGTTCCGCCCGGCGCTCGGCCGTTCCTCCTCATTCCCCCCCCCCCTCTGACGCGGGTCACGGAGGGTGACGGCCGACCGACTGACCAGTCTCGTGCAGAGGCCGGAGAACTGGCAGCGTGGTGGTGCGAGCGGGGCCAGGCCGGGTCAGACAGGATCGTGGTGTAACGGGACCCGTTGTAATACTTGCCCAGTTTCATGGTTCCGTGCACTGCTCGGTGCATGTTTGTGCCGTAAATATCCAGCCCGGCTTTGCTGGCCGCAATAAGCCACATATCTCCATGCTATAATCGACACGCCAGTCGTTCCAACGCAGCTGGTGGGATGGGTGCAGCCTCCTCGCCTCATGGCCATCCCGCTGGCACCGAACTTCGACACTTCGACTACATACGCCAGCCCTTTGAGAACGTTCGAAAGTAAACAAGATGGATGCCGGCGCTACGGTACGAAGCCAATCACTATGGGCTACGTTGCATGTAACGAATGTGTGTCTTCTGTGCCAGGGCTGACATCGATGCACACGCTGTGGATGCGTGAGCACAACCGCGTGGCGCGCGGGCTGGCCCGTATGAACCCGCTCTGGGGCGACGACCGGCTCTTCCACGAGGCCAGGAAGGTGGTGGGGGCTATGGTGCAGGTCATCACCTACAACGAGTGGCTGCCTGTCGTGCTGGGTGAGTCTGAGAGAATGAGGAATTTGGACCTGCCGGATAGTGGTGCTTGTCTCATTGCTGCTTTGTCTAATGTTGTATCAGTAAGTGTTATGTTTAGCTTTTTGGCATCGTGCTAGGTAGTTTGCGACATATTCGTGCTGTCACAGGAGCGTTTTTACCCTCCTGTGTTCCATCGTTTATCCGTCAAGTTCATGAGGAACCATAACTAAGGCTCTCCACTAAAGCATGACGCCAGTTTTGCTTCACTGCTTTTGTGGGCTTAATGTGTCCGTTATACCACAGGGCGTTCCGTCATCAAGATATTTGACGTGACCCTGCAGAAGTACGGCTACTTCTATGGCTACAACAGTTCGGTGAACCCGACCATCGCCAACTCGTTTGGTTCAGCCGCCTTCCGCTTCGGCCACTCGCTGGTCAACAGCAAGCTCGACCGGTGTGACAAATTCGGCAACTCCGTCAAATTCGGTAATCATCTCGGCGAACTCGGGGCAGTTTTATCTGTTGACCTACGACGAGACACTGACGGTGACCCCAAAGGACATCCCAGGTCGTACAGCACAATAGCATACCATTGAGATTTCGTGATCGGCCCGCTTTACCACAACACATCTGGTGAGACGGTCGGTGGCTAGGCCGTGGATCTCGAGCGTCACACTTCCGTCTACGGTGCATTGGCGGCCGGTGGTCGCCAGCGCCCTGCGGCGCCCCGCAGGGGCCAGCGTCCGGTCTGAGCCGCCCGTGACGTCACCGCCTGTCCGGCAGACATCTCGCTGCATCAGGAGCTGATGAACCCGGCGCAGCTGCACAACATCGGCAGCGTCGACCGGCTGATGTTCGGCCTGCTTACCAGCAGGCGCAGCGGCGCGACGTCTTCATCCAGCCGCGAGCTCACCAACCGGCTCTTCCAGACCACGCGTGAATTGACGGCTGTGGTCCGGCGCAGCGTCGCTGAGATGGCTGCGACCGCCGACAGTCGCGCTGCAGACGAAAACACCGTCTCAGAGCCGGCTGTCAAGGTGTCAACAAAGGTGGCTTTGCGCTGTCGCGTGGTGAGGGGAACTGTGACCGGCGATTGAATGCGTGGATCGGTGGGCGTCGGGTGGTGCAGAGTCGAGATCAGTGCTTTGCCTTCAGTTCACGACCCTGCGCGCGCGGCCCCGACTCCGTCGGCCACCTGGCGACGCCGACCGTCCCGCGCATCTGTGCCGCCTGGCGGCCTGGCCGAAGCCGACCGTCCCTGCACCTCGGCCGCCTGGCGACGCTGACCCTGTCCTGCCCTCGGCCCTCCTTGCGTACGCTGAACCGTCCTGCCCTCGGCCCGTTCTGGCGACGCCGACCGTCCCGTGCTCGGCCGCCTGGCGACGCTGACCGTCCTGCCCTCTGCCGGTGACCCGCAGAGCCGTTCGGCATGGACCTAGCATCGATCAACATCCAGCGGGGCCGCGACCACGGACTGGCACCGTACAACACGTGGCGGCGCGAGTGCGGGCTGCGCCGCTTCACCAACTGGGGCCAGCTTCTGGAGGTCATGGACGACGACAGCGTCGGCCGCCTGCGCGTGGCGTACCGGTGAGCCGCCCGGACCGGTGATAGGCTCGCTCGGTGCCCGCCGCGCCCGCTGCCCGCGCAGCAGACGCCGTCGCTGCTGCTAGCGAACTGTGGTACCCGCAGCAAGGGGGCAGATGCTGCCACTGGGGAAAAGCATGTCACGTGCTGACATGGGGCGGCGCAATCGTTAGGGTAGGGTTTGAGCGAGCATTTGTGACACTAATTTCACTGACGGAGGTGATAAGCGTGACTGTGGCTGAACTGAACCCATCAGCAGGCGGTGTTGCGCCCTCGCTTGTGCGCACTCCATAGGTGATGTGAAGCGGCTTGCTCGCGTTCCACCGGTGACGGATAATCTGGCTGGCCGGCAGGCACCTGGACGACATTGACCTGTTCGCCGGCGGGCTGGCGGAACGCCCGGTCAAGGGTGGCTTGGTGGGGCCCACGTTCGCCTGCATAATCGGACAGCAGTTCCTCAACCTGAAGGTACCCTGCTGCGCTCCGGGGACTTCTAGAGTGGGAGACACTGAACGGGGCGCGGGCAGGTGGTGGTTTCCGAAGTTAACTTTTGCGGCTATGCTGGAGCGGGTAACTTGTTTCTTGTAGTGCAGCTGTTTCGTTTGATGCTGCCAAGTACTGAATGGGCTACTCGGTCGTAGGTTGCAGTGATTCATGCACCAAGACTAAGCCCAGACGAAGTTGCACCTCCCCAAGACGATGTTGGCTTTGCTCAGCTCAAACACTGACATGGTCCTAAGCTGCGCTACGTCGCTGGCAGGTGGGCGACAGGTTCTGGTTTGAGAACGGCGGCATGAAGTCATCCTTCACCCCGTCCCAGCTGCACCAGCTGCGGAAGACGACGCTGGCCAGGGTGCTGTGCGACAACCTAGACGACATCGACGTGGTGCGGCCGCTTGTCATGCGAACGGGAATCGTTAGCCAAAGGTGAGGACCGGTGCACTCCCTCACTCATCAAACGCGTGTCAGAAGCCCCGCCTCAGCGCCGCTCCGCTCGCCAGCCGTGGGCCCGCGCGCAACACCGGCTGCTGTCACGAACGCAGCGCGCGGCGCCTGCTCTCGCCGGTACGTTGGGCGTGGACACCAGGCTCGCGACTGTACAGCTGAGCGTCGTCGCACAGCGAATGTGGTGGCGCCGGCTTTTGTCTGCGAGGCGGGTTGCCCGCTGTCGACCTCGGTGGCGCTGGACGCCGAGGCCACCCGGCCCGGTCGAATGTGACCCGTACTGTGCACCGCTCCTGCCAGGAACCGACCCGTCTCGTGTCAGCTGATCCGGCGGGTCAGCCTGCGGCCGTGGGAGGAGCCGCCTCGCGAGGCGGCACCGGCCGCCCCGGCCGCACCCGCCGCGGTCGACTCCCTCGCCGAGGACTTCCAGTTCACCCCCAAAAACAAGCCGCACCCTGGCATTGCCGCACTCGGTCTGCAGCATCTCATCGGACCGTCTGAGATTCCAAAGTGAGTTGGTAGGGACGGTGTGCTAGCGAGCAATATCACGGCTGAGGCGGGAACGTGTGCCCGGTAAGGACATTGACACCATTTTCTGTGATAAAGAAAGTAACTGTAGTGCGACGAGTGGGGCGCATAACTGTTGTCATGCCACCTAGTGTATTCCATTACAAACAAACAACACAAACTCCATTTGATACCTTCATTCCTAATATTTGGACGAAAGTTTGTCTGTGTGGGATATATATATATATATATATATATATATATATATATATATATATATATATATAGTATAAGTTTTGATTCGACAGATTAACGGATCGCGATTTGACAGCCTTAAGTCATTTTGTGGGGTCACATGGGGTTGATATCTCTGAAGGCATATGAGTAGTGAAGAAAGATATCAGGCGCCAAAAAGCTAAACCGCCAAAGGGGCCCAACAAATGTACTAGACATTGAGTTTCGCGTTCACCTACATTTGGCGGCATGTCCTTTTCGCCTAATGCTACGTACCCTATGGTGACTTCTAGCTTTCTCAAACCGACTGACTAGATCTTTCAGAATTTGAGACTAAATTTTTGTCTAAGAAAAGTGAGGCTAAAAACCAGTGTAGTGCCCACAGATGCTCGTTTTCTGGGGCTTCCTGAGTCTGCCTAAGGAATTGTGCCGGGACTTGTCATATTTTCAAAGCTATTTTTGAACACTATCTGGTGTTGTCGCGCTGGTGGGCTCATTAAACTAAAACCCCCCAAAAAACGAATCTCTTTCTCGCGCATGATTACCAATCGCGCACGGCTCCGTTCAAATCTGAAACAGATCTGACAACTGATGACGTCACGCCCCGGTCGATGCGTTGCGGATGCATCAGCCTCTGGAAATAAACAACGCCGTCATCTGGCAAGATCTGCGTCCGTGAGATGCATTTTCCTTGCGTGATGAGAAGCTTTGTTCTCCCCGGGCCAGAGGGGTTTTACCCTCTGCGCGTCGGCTGCTCCCTGACCGCTGTGTCACGCGTCGCCCGCCTCCGCCCGCAGTCCGCTGAACAACCAGCGTCCGCCGCCGCAGTACCTGCGCGAGGACGAGCTGGAGGCGCCGCAGGAGCCGTCCGAGAGCTACCTGGACGAGATGCCGCAGCAGCTGTCGCCAACCGCCGCCCTCGCCGGTCAGCCTCTGTACGACCTGCTCGACCTGGGCGACCTGCTGGCAGGCCGGCAGGCGCGCGGGCGGCGGGCGGCGCCGGCCGCCTGAGAGCCGCAGCTCCAGCGCCGCAGCTCCAGCGTCCCGGCAGCACCGCAGCCGCAGCAGCGCAGGGCAAGTCACGCTCCGCCCGCGGCGCGGGGCCTGCAGAGGCCTGGTCTTGTCGGAGCAGTGTGTTGGCTCTCGTGTCGCTCTGTCACGTCACAGGGCCTCACCGGATGACGTGCCAGCCCGGACGACTCTGGCCGGGTTGGGGAGGTCGAAGGTCAGCCCCCACCCTCGCTGAGTCCAGCCGGCGGGCGGGTCCGGGGTCCCTGAGGGAGCGGCAGCTGCGCAGGGACCTGCTGCTGGACAGTGGTCGGACTGACCTGTCAGAGATGGCCACCGCCGCCCCGGGGAGGTCAGAGCATCGGCGACGACAGACACCGACCGCGCACGGGGTGACCGGGGACGACCGACACGCCTCGTGGCGGGACATTGCGGCACTAACTCGTAGCTGTAGTGACGTGACTAATCACTGTTTTTGTTGCTAGATGTGTAAGCGTGAGCCATGCTCCTGAGCCTTTGGTCGTATGAGCTTACTGAACCAGTCATGGTGTTGATATTGGTCGGCCCCAGAGGAGCTCGTTTCAGTCTTGTTTTGCTACTTCGCATAATTGAGGGGGTTATGAGACAGTTACCACTCAATGTATTTACGGACAAGACTGGGACCATCGAAACAACATTTGGAGAGGAGTTTGTGTGAATGCTCCTGACGATGGAGTTAATTATTTCCATCTAAGCATGATCTCGTCACGTCAAGTCACTGGTCACCGACTTTATTCACTACGGAATTCGCTTCGTTTTTGTGTTCTTTTTCAACCCGATACGGGGATTGTAGGGTGCGACTGTGTAACCCCATGTGATGTTGACTGAGGAAGTTCATGTGTAACAAGCCCACCGCCTAGTAGCTGGACACAATGCACCAGACAGTCACACGCCTGCCCCGGTGCGGGCTGCGCTGTGAGACGCCGCGTTTCCGTCGACAGCGTGTGAACTCGAGCCCTGTCTCGCCCTGTGCGCTCCCACCGCAGGGCAAACACGATCTCCAATGTGTGGTCAAAGCCGGCAATAGTTGCCATCCTGGAATGATGGATGGGTGGAAACCGTCTCGCTTTTTTATACTCGTCGCTCAAATGATATGGGGTTGTAAGCGAGATTTTGATCGGAGGAGCCCACGTTTGTACTCTCAGAGTCATCAATTTTAAGCAGGTGAATGAATGGGAATTGCCTATAAGAATGTTACAAGAAGGAAAAATAGCATTAGAAGCTCAGAATGGGAACTTCCTATGCAAGTTTGACTTTGCAGAAACCCACCTTTTTATTTTTAAAACATTCAACTCAGAGCTTTTGAATGGACAGATTTCTGGGATACCAGCTCACGCTAAGCAGTGGTTGTTGTGTGAGCTCTGAACCCTGTCATCCGATCGCGCAGTCTCAGGTCAGCGACAGAATTTTGTGGCGAAAGCTTGGCAATCCCTTAAACAACTCGAACATGTACAAGTCAAAATTATAGTGTTGTCCTCTTTGTGCCAACCTAGCCGGTCGACAGAACGTTGACATAACATGCTCGACCTCACGCATAGGCCACCGGTCTGTCTGTCAACAAAATCTGACGGTTTTGCACATGACGCAACATTAATTCTGACGCACCTGAGACCCGACTGATAAAGCTGTGACCTGACAATAGGCCGATTTGTTCGAGACGACTGACACGCAGCTGTGTCCGTGTTGCCCGGATGCTACACTTGGGACGACGTGCGAATACTTGTGTGCCCCAGTCCGACGCGTATGCGAAAAGTGACTCTCAGACCAGAACCTGACGCCTAGATCAGAGCCTGACACTCAGACCAGAACCTAACGCCTAGATCCGAGCCTGACGCCCAGACCAGAACCTGATATCGAGACCGGAACCTGACATACAGACCAGAACCTGACACTCAGAACAGAACCTGACACTCAGGTCAGAGCCCAATACTCCGACCAGAACGTGACTTTTGTGTTAAAATCTCCTGAGGCTGGACCAATATACAAATGGCTTGAGTGTTTCCCTGCCTACATGCAGGAAGTGATGAAAACTCTGCCGTCATGACACCAGACGGATATGCCGTCATGATACCAGACGGACATGTTGCCATGATACCAGACGGATATGTCGTCATGAGACCAGACGGATATGCCCTAGACTCGACTGGAGCCGAGCTCGTGCACTCTGACGCTGACTGATGACTGAAGCCTTACCGCCCTTTGTTTTGGCTGACTTTATCGGGCCGGTTTCTGTGCTGTCCGCCACAGTCTCAATTGTGTTTATCCGCCAAAGCCTCGTTCAGGACACCTGAACGAGACCTTGGCGGACGAAATCACCCCTTAATTTTGCGTGTACGCACATGTGAACTGTGTCAGACGAAACATGACGTGACTGTGTGTGTTGCATTGCTCGTGCGTGGTTCTTGATAAACTTGAAAGCAATATTTCACTGTTTCCAACTCACGTGGAACGCGCCGAACAATGCAGCACCCACCTGATGCCTAGGCTGTGGGGAGAACTGAAGGACAAACGACTGTTGTGGTCCCTGACGAGATACTACGCCCCGACTAGTGCCGACTGCCGGAAACATGTGCTGACAACGATCCGCCCAACGACGTGCCGACTTTTGTTCTTAAGACGTAGGTGTTGTGCTTTACAGTGAGGCGATCACGCGGTGCTCTGTGCTCAGGTGACTTGTACTTCACCATTCCACGAGCATGCGAAACCATTGTTTAGCTCGTGCGTTGGATGCGGCAGAGCAGATTGCCTCGCCTAGTGGACGCGCAGACATTACAAGCCCCTTGCCATTAGGTCATAGTATGTGAGCATATGGAATCAGGTAGCGCGTAGCCACTTTGCCTATGCGCCCATCCATACATGGGCGCGGTTTTCCTGGCAGGCTTGGAAACAGCTTTCAGGGTTGTTCAAATCGTTGGACGGAATAAAGCATGAGTGCCAGTCTGACCGCTCATTGAACGCAAGTGACGAGGTCGACGTGAGACGGCTTCCCGACATCTGACTGAGGTCCCAGGTCAAGTAAGACGACTCCCCGACATCTGACTGAGATCCCAGGTCAATTGAGACGGCTCCCCGACATCTGACTGAGGTCCCAGGTCAAGTGAGACGGCTCTCCGACATCTGATTGAGGTCCCAGGTCAAGTGAGACGGCTCTCCGACATCTGATTGAGGTCCCAGGTCAAGTGAGACGGCTCCCCAACATCCAACTGGGGTCCTGGTGTCAAGTAAGACGACTCCCCGACATCTGACTGAGGTCCCAGGTCAATTGAGACGGCTCCCCGACATCTGACTGAGGTCCCAGGTCAAGTGAGACGGCTCCCCGACAACTGACTGAGGTCCCGGGGTCAAGTGAGACGGCTCCCCGACATCTGACTGAGGTCCTGGTGTCAAGTAAGACGACTCCCCGACATCTGACTAAGGTCCCAGGCCAAGTGAGACGGCTCTCCGACATCTGACTTAGGTCCCAGGTCAAGTGAGACGGCTCCCCGACATCTGATTGAGGTCCCAGGTCAAGTGAGACGGCTCCCCGACATCTGACGAGGTCCCAGGTCAAGTGAGACGGCTCCCCGACATCTGATTGAGGTCCCAGGTCAAGTGAGACGGCTCCCCGACATCCGACTGAGGTCCTGGTGTCAAGTAAGACGACTCCTCGACATCTGACTGAGGTCCCAGGTCAATTGAGACGGCTCCCCGACATCTGACTAAGGTCCCAGGTCAAGTGAGACGGCCCCCCGACATCTGACTTAGGTCCCAGGTCAAGTGAGACGGCTCCCTGACATCTGACTGAGGTCCCAGGTGTAATGAGACGGCTCCATGACCGTGGCTAAGGCACCAGGTCCACTGAAAGAACTGGCCGATATCTCGCCCGGGTAAGTTAGTGTGAGGACTGTCAGATATCCAGCTGGTGTCAGGAATCTGGTATGAGAACTGTTGTGCGCTGGACTGCGAACTCACCTTTAATACTTATCTGCTCTAGTAATGTATCATGAAGATTGTCAGACACCTGACTTACGCTCCGGACCTAGTATGAGGACTGTCAGACACTTGACAAATGCTCTGAACCCAGTATGGGGACTGTCAGAAACCTGACTGACGCTCCGCACGTAATATGAGGACTGTCAGACACCTGACCGACGCTCTGGACCTGATGATGACTTTCAGACACCTTACTAACGCCCTGGACCCAGTATGAGGACGGTCAGATATCTGAATGACACCCCGGACCTAGTATGAGGACGGTCAGATACCTGAATGACGCCCCGAACCTAGTATGTAACTATCAGACACTTGAATCATGTCGCGGGCCTAGTATGATAGCTGTCAGACGCCTGAATCGTGTCCCGGACCTAGGATGATAGCTGTCAGAAACCTGACTGACGCTCCGGACGTAATATGCGGACTGTCAGACACCTGAGTAACGCCCTGGACCTAGTATGGGGATTCCAGACACTTGACTGGCACTCTGGACCTACTACGAAAGCTGTCAGACACCTGAACTACGCCTCGGACCTAATATGAGGACTGGCAGACATCGGAATTTCGCCCCGGACCTAGTATGAACACTGACAAACGTCTGAACTACGCTCCGGACCTAGTATGAGGACCGACAGATATCTGAATTGCGTCCCGGACCTAGTATGAGGACTGACAGACATCTGAATTTCGCCCTGGACCTGCTACGAGGACTATTAGATGAGGACAGATAGAGGACTGTGCCTGACCTGACATTGACCTGACCAGATGCCTGACCATGACATTTGACACCTGACGTAGGTTTGGGATCTGCTGACTACTGAACATCTGTCTCAGACCCCGGGTGTAATGTGGGCGCTGCCCGACACTTGAATGATACGGTGTCAAGTATGCCGGGCACCTGACTGGTGACCTTTGTAGTCTGATGTAGCCGGACATAACCAATGACCGTCCTGTTTCACATAAAGAGCCAGCGACAACGACTGAGGTAAATCATTGGAGCGGGTCTCTCAACATGCGATGGGCACACAGTTTGACCTAACTAGTGACGCGAGCATAAACGGGAGCATTGGCTTCATCTAACCAGCTAGTGACACTTGACATGTATGAGTTGACCTGTACAGTAATTGATGCTGGTTGGCGTAATGTCACCGTACTGAATTAGGAATAGTCAACTGGTATGGTTTGTGCTGACCAACAACGACCCCGCAAGTTTTGGTTTTGACGTTAATGACTAGTGACAAGCGACATGTACGGCGTAATATAAGCAGGTAGTGGCACTTGACTAGTTACTTTAGCCTCACGAACAGGTGTCTCTGAATTGTCGTGATTCGACCTAGCCATCTTGTGCCGCCGTGGTCACAATGAGTGCTTGGCACGGGCGCATTTACTGCTCGACCTAACTGACTGATGAAACTCGACTTGGATCGTTCTACATCACCACCTTGTGGCACTTGACTGTGGTATATTCACACGACCAGCTAGTTACCCTTGTCTAGTATTTTCACATGGTCGACTGTCGATAAGTGACGCTTGCCTGGTGTAGCTTTGCCTTACCGTCCTACGACGATGGTCGACTGTCGATTAATGACACTTGACTGGTGTAGCTTTACCTCACCGTCCCACGACGATGGCCGACTGTTGATTAGTGACACTTGACTGGTGTAGTCTTACCTGACCGTCCCACGACGATGGTCGACTGTCGATTAGTGACATTTGACTGGGGTAGCTTTACCTCACCGTCCCACGACGATGGTCGACTGTCGATTAGTGACACATGACCGGTGTAGTCTTACCTGACCGTCCCACGACGGTGGTCGACTGTTGACTAGTGACACATGACCGGTGTAGTCTTACCTGACCGTCCCACGACGATGGTCGACTGTCGATTAATGACACATGACCGGTGTAGTCTTACCTGACCGTCCCACGACGATGGTCGACTGTTGATTAGTGACACATGACCGGTGTAGTCTTACCTGACCGTCCCACGACGGTGGTCGACTGTCGATTAATGACACATGACCGGTGTAGTATTACCTGACCGCCCCACGACGATGGTCGACTGTCGATTAATGACACACGACCGGTGTAGTCTTACCTGACCGTCCCACGACGATGGTCGACTGTCGATTAATGACACTTGACTGGTGTAGTCTTACCTGACCGTCCCACGACGATGGTCGACTGTCGATTAATGACACATGACCGGTGAAGTCTTACCTGACAGTCCCACGACGGTGGTCGACTGTTGATTAATGACACATGACCGGTGTAGTCTTACCTGACCATCCCACGACGATGGTCGACTGTCGATTAATGACACATGACCGGTGTAGTCTTACCTGACCGTCCCACGACGATGGTCGACTGTTGATTAGTGACACATGACCGGTGTAGTCTTACCTGACCGCCCCACGATGCTTGACGGGTGCAGCTTGATTTGAACGGACATTCGACGGGTGTAGTTCAAGCTCGCTAAATCCTGACATTTGACTGATGTAGTTTTCGCTTTGGAGCTAGTGAAGCTTAATTGGTATGGTTTGATTTGACAAATTAGTAGCGATCGACTGTCGTATTTGAGACTGATCGACTAGTGACGCTGCCCTCCACGGATCCAGTTTGAGTTCATCGGCTCATGACGCTTTACTAGTGTATTTTGATCTGGCTGATTAGTGATACTCGACTGATAATGCTGATCAAATCAGCAAGATACAGGGACAGTGTGATTTCATTCGATCAGCTGGCGACATTCGACGAATCAGTGTGATCTGACCAACAGGGTCATTGAGCTTGCATGCTGTGATCACATCCATTGTTGACACTGCCCCGATGTATTTTAATCTGACCAACGAGTGAGACCGGACTGATGTTTGACCTGGCCAACACTGACAATCGGCGGCCGCAGTGCTGACCCGCCCGGCCGCTGACACGCGACTAGGAAGTTCGGTGTCATCAACTGGCAACACACGTCTGGCATAGCGTGACTTGACCAACTATGTCGAGACAACCGACTGGTATGATCGTACCAGCTAACGACGTTCGACCGGTTATATTTGATCTGACTAACATGTTTGACGCATAGCGTGTTCAGACCAACCGGAGACTCGAGTCTCCAGTTTTGGTTTTTATGACCATTTGGTAGCGCTTCCGATGTAGTTTGTTGCAACTGACTGGACATGGGCAGCATAATTACCAGTGGCGGACAATCTGGACCAACTGGTGACGTCCGACCAGCATATGTTGATCTGACCATCTAGCAACGTCTGACTGATGCACAGTTTGTTGCGACCAACTGGACATGGACAGCGCAATTTGACTGGACCAACTCGTAACGTCCGACGGGCATATGTTGATCTGACCAACCAGTAACACCTGACTGATGCACAGTTTGTTGTGACCAACTGGACATGGACAGTGCAATTTGACTGGACCAACTGGTGACGTCCGACAAGCATACGTTGATCTGATCAACCAGTAACGTCTGACTGATGCACAGTTTGTAGCAACCTAATGGACGTGGACAGTGTAATGACTGGTGACGGGCCAACTGGACCAACTCGTAACGTCCGACCGGCATATGTTGATCTGACAAACCAGTAACACTTGACTGATGCACAGTTTGTTGCGACCAAGTGGACACGGACAGTGTAATTTGACTGGACCAACTGGTGACGTCCGACCAGCATATCTTGATCTGACCAACCAGTAACGTCTGAATGATGCACAGTTTGTTGCGACCATGGACCCGGACATGGACAGTGCAATTTGACTAGACCAACTGTTGACGTCCGACCAGAATATGTTGACCTGACAAACAAGTAACGTCTGACTGACGCACAGCTTGTAGCAACAGACTGGACGTGGACGGTGTAATGACTGGTGACGGGCCAACTGGACCAACTCGTAACGTCCGACCGGCAGATGTTGATCTGACCAAACAGTAACACCTGACTGATGCACAGTTCGTTGCGACCAACTGGACATGGACAGTGTAATTTGACTGGACCAACTGGTGACATCCGACCAGCATATCTTGATCTGACCAACCAGTAACGTCTGAATGATGCACAGTTTGTTGCGACCATGGACCCGGACATGGACAGTGCAATTTGGCTAGACCAACTGGTGACGTCCAACCAGCACATGTTGATCTGACCAACCAGTAACGTCTGACTGATGCACAGTTTGTAGCAACCGACTGGACGTGGACAGTGTAATGAGTGGTGACGGACCAACTGGACCAACTCGTAACGTCCTACCGCATATGTTGATCTGATGAACCAGTAGCACCTGAATGATGTACAGTTTGTTGTGACAATGGACCTGGACATGGACAGTGCAATTTGACTGGACCAACTGGTGACGTCCGACCAACATATCTTGATCTGACCGACCAGTAACGTCTGACTGATGCACAGTTTGTAGCAACCGACTGGACGTGGACAGTGTAATGACTGGAGGTGGACCAACTGGACCATCTCGTAACGTCCGACCGGCATATGTTGATCTGATGAACTAGTTACACTTGACTGGTGCACAGTTTGTTGCGACCAATTGGACATGCATAGCACAATTTGACTGGACCAACTGGTGACGTCTGACCAGCATATGTTGATCTGACCAACCAGTAACGTCTGACTGGTGCACAGTTTATAGCAACCGACTGGACATGGACGGTGTAACGACTAACGACAGACCAACTGCTGCCGTTCGACTATCATACGCTAATCTTATGAAGTAGTAGCACCTGACTGATGCAGTTTGTTGTGACTGACTGGACGTGGACAGTGTAATGACTGGTGACGGACCAACTGGACCAGCTGGACCAACTGGTGACGTACTACCAGCGTATGTTGATCTGATGAACTAGTTACACTTGACTGATGCACAGTTTGCTGCAACCGACTGGACATGGACAGTGTAATGACTAGTGACGGACCAACTGGTGGCATTCCACCATCATATGCTGATCTGATAAAGTAGCAACACCTGACTTGTGCACAGCTTTTTGTGACCGATGGGACATGGACAGTGTAATGACTGGTGGTGGACCAGCTGGACGAACTGGCGAAGTCCGATCAGCGTATGTTGATCTGATCAACCAGTAACGTCTGACTGATGCACAGTTTGCTGCGACAGACTGGACGTGGAAAGTGTAATAACTAGTAATGTGTCAACTGTACCAACTGGTGGCGTTTGACCAGCATAGATTGATCTGATCAGCTAGTGGCACTTGACTGACGTACAGTTTGTTGCGACCGACTGGATGCGGACGGTGTAATTTCGCTGGACCAATTGGTAAGGTTCGACCAGGCCAAATTGATTTGATCAACTCGTAACGCCAGAATCATGTTCAGGTTGTTTCAAGTAGACATACATGGTGTGGACGAACTCGGCGACTAGCTGTTGACTTTCTTTAGATGTAGCGTGATCAGCCTGATGTTGGTGACTTCACAATGCTTGACTTGTGCAGTTTGACATGGCCGACTGATTTATGACTGGTAGAGTTTGATCAGACGAAGAAATGACATATACTATATAACTTGACGCCACCAACTAATGCCGTTCGATTGATATGATTCGACCAGACCAACTAGTAACAGTCGACTGGGTAATTGGTGTCGACCACCTAGCGACATTTGACTGGTCTCAACAGTTTGACCCGACTGCCTAATGGCTCACGATCGGTGTGGTCTTGCAATGACGTGCTCTTGACTTATGGAACTTGACTGCTACCTGCCACCGAAATGGTCATTGATATGAGAGACTGCATAATACGGTTGGAATTTCGTTGATTCTGATAATGGCATCGGACTAACTTATTTGAACTAGTGAACAGCGCCATTTAATGGGGGCATGCCTGTTAAGATAATCTGGAAGTGTGATTTGACCTTCTAAGTTTGAGCTGACCTTTTAGCCACGCTTGAGCGTACTGGTTAAACCTGGGATTCAAGTGACAGCCTGACCTTGCCAGTTTCACACGATCTGCATGTGACGAATGACTGTCCGAGTTTGACCTGATGTGCCAACGCTGACGAGGTTTGATTGGCATTGTTTGGCTATCGCCCGTTGATATTTAACTACGTTGGCGTGAGCTGACCAGACAATGGCATTTGATAGGTGATCAGCTCAGCCGAAACTGACAAGGCAGTGACAACAGACGTGCTTGACATGTCACCTGGCCGGTCTGGTGACAGCAGACGTGCTTGACATATGGTGTGGCCGGCCCAGTGACAACGGACGTGCCTGACACATCACCCGGCCGGCCCAGTGACAACAGACGAGCTTGACATACGATGTGACCGGCTCAGTGACAGTTGACTGATTAAAGATGACCTGGGAGGCCGCTAGTGACGCTCGACTGATATATGTTGACCTCGCCGCACAGGGAGGCAACAACGTTTCAGTTTGACGGTATCTTTCCGTCTGTGTTTCCTGACATAATGTAGTGTGACTGTCAGCTGTGTCTTTATCGGCTTAGTTGGGCCTAGCCTGAACTTTCACGGGCATGTGGCTGGCAGAACTTGACCTGCCCTGGTAGCGGCAAATGATTGGTACGCGTAAGTCGCACTCGCTTTTGGCACTGACGATCGGCTAGTGATACTGCGCTGGTGTTGCTGGACCCGACCAGCTGCTGACAATCGCTTGAAAACGAACAGTGCAACCTTCTAGTGATACCAGATCAGACCCGCTAGACTAGACTGGGTTACTTTAGCCGCGCCAGACGGTCCTAGCCGGTGTTTTGTGACATTTACCAAGCGCCATGTAGGCAACCCCGCCGTACGCTGGACATCCTGTGACCGGACTAAAGCTTTGCCATTCGTTCGTTACTATAGTGACGTTTGACTTAACAGCACGTGGTCTAAGGGGCTCACGCCTTGTGATGTGCACTATTCCTTCACACAAACAGCGGGTTGACGTCTCATTGACTCTTCTGGTGGACCAGAGACCAAGTAGTGACGCGGCGTCATTGGTCTTTGACTGGACAGTGGCACAGCGCCATTGTCCATTGATTGGACATTGACAAAGCGCCATTGGCTATTGACTGGACGTAGACGCAATGTCAATGACCCTTGACTGGACAGCGGCACAGCGCCATTGGCCATTGACTGAATATTGACGCAGCGCCATTGGCCCGTGACTAGACAGTGATGTGAAGCTATCGGAGCTTGACTGCAGAGTGACGCAGTGCCATTGGCCCTTGACTGGACAGTGACGCAGTGCCATTGGCCCTTGACTGGACGGTGATGCGGCTTCATTGACCCTTGACTGGACAGTGACGTAGCGCCATTGGCCTTTGACCAGACAGTGATGTAAGCCATTGTCCGGTGACTGGACAGTGACACAGCGCCATCCGCCTTTGATTGGACAGTGACGTGAAGCTATTGACTAACTGATCCTACGATGACGTGACGACATTAAGTATCGGACCCAACGTTGACATGCAGCCATTCGACATTTGACAGTGTAGTGTCGAGGCGTCGTCGGCTCGTTGATCACTGTGACATAAGCCTGTTGCCATTTGACCGGGCGATGCCCTCACATTGGCCCTGTCACCAGACGGCGACGTGACGACACTGGCTATTGGACCGAAGTGTAACGCGACACCGTTAGGCATTTGCCCTGACGGCCTTGTGTCACTGACTCTTTGATCAGACTGCAACGTGACGCCATTGACTCTTTGACAAGGACAGTGGTGTGATAACGTCGCCCTTTGACAGGACATTTACGTGACCACCGTGGCCTTTACCAGGACCGTGGCATGCCAACATTGACCCTTTGTGCACACAGCGACGTGACGATATCGGCCCCTTATCCGTACCGTGACGTGACCGACGTCTGTACTCAGACAGTGACGTGACGACATCGGTCCTTTATCCGTACCGTGACGTGACTGACCTCTGTACTCAGACAGCAACGTGACGATATCGGCCCCTTATTCGTCCTGTGATGTGATTGACGTCTGTAATCCGACAGTGACGCGACGTCATCGGCCCCTTATCCGTACCGTGACGTGACTGACCTCTGTACTCGGACAATGACGTGACGACATCGGCCCTTTATCTGTACCGTGACGTGACTGACCTCTGTACTCGGACAGTGACGTGACGACATCGGCCCTTTATCTGTACCGTGACGTGACTGACCTCTGTACTCAGACAGCAACGTGGCGATATCGGCCCCTTATCCGTACCGTGACGTGACTAACCTCTGTACTCAGTTAGTGACGTGACGACATCGACCCTTTATCCGTACCGTGACGTGACTGACCTCTGTACTCAGACAGTGACGTGACGACATCGGCCCTTTATCTGTACCGTGATGTGACTGACCTCTGTACTCAGGCAGCAACGTGACGATATCGGCCCCTTATTCGTCCTGTGATGTGATTGACGTCTGTAATCCGACAGTGACGCGACGTCATCGGCCCCTTATCCGTACCGTGACGTGACTGACCTCTGTACTCGGACAATGACGTGACGACATCGGCCCTTTATCTGTACCGTGACGTGACTGACCTCTGTACTCGGACAGTGACGGGACGACATCGGCCCTTTATCTGTACCGTGACGTGACTGACCTCTGTACTCAGACAGCAACGTGGCGATATCGGCCCCTTATCCGTACCGTGACGTGACTAGCCTCTGTGCTCAGTTAGTGACGTGACGACATCGACCCTTTATCCGTACCGTGACGTGACTGACCTCTGTACTCAGACAGTGACGTGGCGATATCGGCCCCTTATCCGCACAGTGACGTGACTGACCTCTATACTCAGGCAGTGACGTGACGACATCAGCCCTTTATCCGTACAGTGACGTGATTCGCTTCTGTACTCAAACAGTGACGTGACGATATCGGCCCCTTATCCGTACAGTGACAGGACTGACCTCTGTAATTAGACGATGTTTTCAGACGTCGGCCCCTTATTCGCGCTGTGGTGAGTTACCTTTGTAATCAGACGGCGACGGGACGCCTTCGCCATTTGGCCTTCCGATAATGTAACGTCATTGGTCCACATGCTTAAGCGATCCCGTTGATTATCTGACCAGTGGATGGTGCGACGACATCGGCTCTTTGACCACGTCATTTGACGCCATCGGTCGTTTGACCGGACGGAAATGTGACCACATTGGCCATTTAACTCGAGGGAGACGCGACACCATTGGTTATTTGACCGGACAGAGAGGTGACAGCATTGGTGATACAACTTGGGATGATTGGGGTGACATCATTGGTGATACAACTACCGCTCGGTCAAACACTACCGGTCATTTGACCGGACGGAAAGTGACACTATTAGTCATTTGACCAGGCGGAGACCTGACACCATGGGTCATTTGACAGGACAAAGACGTGACCCCCCATTGGTCATTTGACCGGACAAAGACGTAGCCCCTCATTAATCATATGGCCGGACGGAGGCGCGACGCCATTAGTCATATGTCGGACGGAGGCGGGACGTCATTTGTCATTTCGCTGGACGGAGATGTGACACCATTTGTCATTTAGACGGACGGAGACGTGACGCCATTGGTCATGTGACCGGACGGAGGCGTGACACCATTGGTCATGTGGCCGGACGGAGACGTGACGCCATTGGTTATTTGACCAAATGGAGACGTGGCGTAATTTGCCATTTCACTGGACAGAGACGTGACGCGTTGGTCATGAGACCGCATGGGGACGTGACGCCACTGGTCATTTAGATGGAGGGAGACGCGACGCCATTGGCCACTTAGACGGACGAATATGTACCACCAATAGCCCGAGTGGCGACGAAATGACAATGGCTTTTTGATCAGACGGCAACGTAGCGGGATAGCGGACGATGATGGCGCTCGTGGCTTGTCTTCTTTGTTCTTGGCCTGTTTTCTTAGGTTGTTTGCTGTGACTTAGGTAGCTTTAAGTAAAGCTTGATCAGACCAGCCTGTCTCACGGTCAGCTAAAAGTCCGTAACCAATATTTGTCTGGCCTGTGGTCGGTTTGCAAATGCACGACTTTTCTGACCCCACTTGGCATTGTTTTATCTGACGTGTTTGACAAGGTTTTGTGACATACTTGGTCTGATAACGCTGCCACGACTGGTGACTTCTGCCGACGTATCAAGCCGTTGACGTTATTTAACACTGGACGGACACGCGCCCACGTGGCTGCTGATCACGTAACACGAACGACAGCGGACTTGAGACGGACTTACCCAAGTCGTCAATGCCTGTTGACATTGCAGACCTCACTTTTCTGACCCCACGTGGCTGCCGATCACGTAACACGAACGACAGCGGACTTGAGACGGACTTACCTAAATCGTCAACGCCTGTTGGCATTGCAGACCTCACTTTCCTGACCCCACGCGGCTGCCGATCACGTAACACGAACGACAGCGGACTAGAGACGGACTTACCTACATTGCCAGCGCCTGTTGGCATTGCAGACCTCCGACCGCTAACCTGCCTGGTAACACGAATGTGCGTGACATGCATTACCGATCTTACGTAGACAATGCTGGGCGGGGTAATCACGCAGCTGAAGACCTAGTTCCCCGTAAGTAGGTAACTACATGCTCCGTCAGATAACAGTTAAATGCTGGACTGAGCGAGAAGGCTTAACATTTAGTGTTCCCAAACGTAACGCCAAGAAAGCTTGGCATCTGATATTCCGATATTCCAGAGGTTTTTTGCTGGCAAAGATGGGGTTCATTAAAAGTGTTAAGGCGCTCAAATGCTAGAGAGCCTTGTTGCTAGCAGAATCACGCGCGTGTCATTATCCAGGGAAGCCCGCAAGTTGATGGCTGCGTAAAGCGCTCAAATATTAAATTCGGTGTCTCCAAACCCTTGCAAACGGCAGATATCTTCGTTCACGCATGATAGGATACCGCAAGAAAAAAGACTCGTAGTGAAGGGAACGGTGGTCCCGCAGTTGTTCTCTTGGTCACGGTATTTATGTGTGTTATGCAGCCGTAACACTGCCGGCCACGCTTGTTATTTATTGCGCGGACATTTGAACGCTGTTATGTGTGCTTGTTATGCAGCCGCCCCGTGACAGTGCTTGTTTGAGATTGGGACAGCTGCTGCATGTTATAAAGGGGAGTTTTTTTTCTGAAAAGAGCAGTGGACATGGCCCAACGTCACTGTCAGCTGCACGTCAGAAACACCGGCTAGTTCGTAGGCGTGTGCCGGTGCAGCTACTACTTGTAGACGGATATGTCGCCGCAGACAATGCTCACACGATAATCTTTGGTGGCTGCTGAACACATCTTGTTCTGCGTAGGCCGCTTTGGTAGATAAATCATCCTCGTTTTTACTTGTCATGTAGTTGACTTCATCTTGTTACGCAGTTAGTTTTTGTTACTTAGTTGGTAAGCAATTTTGTTGGCTAGTTGGTAATATTTTTGTTGACTTGTGTCTTAGAACCTTTTGCCAACTAGTCCGTTGGCAACTTTTGACCAGTAGTGGTAAGGACCGAGTAAGTTACTTCTCCTGACTTGTCTACAGTTAACAGCTGACGGATTGTTACGCACGGGATTTCTACAGACTTGTAGCGCAGGTAGCTCTCTTGCCAGCGGTGCTTATGGACTAACGTTACGGCTGATGGTCCTCTCGTTATTTAGTATGATGCGTGATAGGACGTCGAGGCGTTTAGGATTCGTCGTGACGTAACTTACTATCTGACCGTTAGTTTTGCCCATGTCTGTTGTGAACCACGCACTAGGCAGACAACCGCTTACCATGGCGAGTGGACGATGGGCAATGGACTGATCCACTTACCTTGTGACGGATCGATGTGTTACACATAGTGAAGAGACCATGCGACGTGACTGTGGTGGTGACGACTGCGGCAGCTGACTGACTTTGTGTCACGACTATCCAATGTAATACCCAATGCGATGTGATTTTCGGCTGGAGCTGAGGCACGTCAGTTGATATTACCAAACATGCCCCTTTGTCTATTCAGCTATGGACTACCAAAGAAATCATCAGACAGTGATAATTACATGCAGCTGCTTCGTGATCCCATTCTCATCTTTCTTCCAAGCGCACCAACGCCTACGCTGCGTTTCAATCGGTTGGTGAAAACTGTCAGGGACATGATGGGAATTTATGAGCAATTTTCCAATGCGACGAAATCTTTGGACTGGTTGCTGACTCGTTTGTTGATGCCTTCTGTACACGTATGTAAATGTGAGAATGTGAGCTCTGTCGGGGAACGGACAGTTTCAGCTCCGCGTTCTCAGTATAGTGCTACGACTTCACTGACTGTCAAACCACTGGCCAGCATCTGTTAGAATGTACGCCGCTGGGCTGACCCGCAACAACAATACTCACCCTGTGGGGCCCACTAATCTGCCGCCTGTAACACTCACCCCGTAGTTGTGAAATACACGGACCGTCGTTACAGCTCGGTGTGACTGCCTGACATGAGACGTGCGGACACAGCCTGCTGGTCCCACAGATAAGACCCGACAGACACGGACAGCTGGCCCGACAGACACGGTCTGCTGGTTCGACAGGCACGGCTTGCCGGCCCGACAGACACAGTTTACTGGCTCGACAGACACGGTTCGCTGGCCCGACGAGCACGATCAGCTGGTCCGACAGACGACGAGGGCGTATCAACAGCCGATGGACGAGTCCGACAGCGCATGGCCAGGGGGCGTATGACGACGAACGCACAGACTGTACCGTGCCGACGCCCACCAACAGGCCACCCAACTGCCGACCGACCAACCAGCTAACGGCGTCGTCGCCCAAACAGACACCAGGCATCGGAATCGTTGACAAATCAACTGACAGACAGACGGTCTCGACTCTAGCTGTCGTGCAGGAGTGCCAATTTATATAATGTTGTGAGGGAGCTGCCTTCTCCGCATATGTTGATCCCCCACCTATTTCCGATGTCGATCCCGGTTTGATCCACCTATAGTCTGTTTCTGGAATGTTGCAAAGATCGATGGAAATGTTGAATATTGCACGAATCACACCTTCCCTGGGCTAACTGATGCCCATGACTCCCATGCTGCTCAAAGAAAGGAAAAATTATATAGGTGGCATAACGTTATGACACATTGTTGCTCGTCAAAATCAAGTGGCCTACCAGTTCAGACACAGACGTTCGAATAGGGCTTACGTTGTTGGGCCTCCGTCTCGACCACCGCAGTCATTTCACAAATTGCCACCTCTTGTCATTTGTCGTTGGGCTGCAAAAAAGTCAGCAACTGGTATTAATATCTGCAAAGCAAAACATATATACTAATGGACAAACGCAGGGCTGGACAGACAGACGAAAGTGTTGCAAAGGGTGGCAGACTTTGACAGACATAAATACGGGCATATATGGCCTGTTGCATAACCTCCAGATATGCGGACGGCCTCTGAGCCAACTGCCTATCATCTGGCGAACCACGGACTGCAGACGTGCCAAATAACAGGCCATTGACCAAAAGTACGCCAACCCTGACTGATCCTGGACCACGTATTGCCAAATGACTGACACCAAAACAAAACGCTGCAGTTGACGTACCCAGGACTAACAAGCAAATCACTTAGCGATAGAGAACTTTACGCGTTGAGTAAACCCACGGCCACCCATATCAAGTCAGTAACGGGTTGGGTTTGATGCATATTTTGGGAACATTACGGACATGGGTGCGGGTAACAAGTTTACTAAATATCTGTTAGGTACCCCAGGAGATGATGCCCAATGTTACCACCTTTTCAATTTAGTCTAGACATTTTGATTAGAGGCATTTCTGAAATGAAATCTCACGCCAAGCAGTGTTTTTTTGTGAACACTAATCTCACCATCCGATGGTGAAACCCCAGTTCCACGGCAGTAACCTGCGGCGGAAGTTCAAAGTACTGCAACGCTCGGCACAGTAAGCTCCGCCCGCTGACCTCACGTGACCTTTAAGCGCGGCCGCTGCCACCTAGCGCGGACCCTCCCAGCCTGGGCCAAACAGCCAGCAGCGAGCCGACTGGAACCCACCCTCCCCGCCACGGCTAGTGCGGGAGGCAGGCGCTTGAACCGATTGAGCTACGGGGGCAGACTGCTTGCATTTATTTAAGCCATCATTGGGTTAATGTCCCTGTACATTACTTCGGCGATTATCAGTAAACAATAGTAAATTTGAGTGTAAGCTGGCAAATGAGTGTGTAGGGGATGGGTACAGCTGTTTTAAAATGGGTAGCGAGTGAGTATAGGCACAGCCTCAGGGGCAGCAAGTGGGATTGGGCACAGAAAATCTTACCAGTGAGACCCGGGGCCGTGGCGCCTGGGATCTCACGCACTGACGTCAAAGACTACACAAAGTGCTGGTCCCTGGACCAAACGTCGAACAAACGAAGACCCTGACAAAAGGCGCATCAACAAATTGACACGGGACCAAAAGTTCATCAACCCAGACCCGAGCAGATCTCATGGACAAAAAAGCATAAAAAATCAACAGTGGACCAAAATCTTACATTTAAGACCACCTTGACTATGACCAACTATCCTTGACCAAACCCGTCAGCTGCCAGACTATGAATTAAAAGCACACTATCCGACGGACGCTAGACTGCAGCCCACAGACTGACAGACTGCCGGCCACAACCGCGCGAAAAGGCAGACCCCATAGGCCAAAACACCACCAAATCACGGACCCCTTACCAAAAACAACGGCTGACGTGACCTGGACCAGACGCACGGTGACTGATAAGACGCCGGACCAAAACCACATGAACTGACATGTTCTGGACTAAAAACATTTTCATGTGATTCATGATGGCAGATGGACCTAACTGACAGACCCTGGGCTATGAATACACTAAATGTCGGAATCAGAACCAGGTATTGACTTACCTACAAGCACCGGACAACAACAAAAAAGAAACTGACGATGCCCAGACCAAAAATGTACCAAACGAACCGTCTTGAATAATATCCTAAGAATATGCTCACTGTGTAAAGGACCCTACATCAAAACCTTACCAACTGACGGCCCCTGGACCAAAACTGTACCAGCTGATGAACCCGAGGCAAAAAGACACGAACTAAGACTCTGGACATATTCACAAGACCCGACGGACACCGGGCCAAAAAGACCAGAGCTGACCGACGCTGACTGACAAGCTTGCTTATAATGGAATTTGACCAGAAAATCATTAAGGTCGTCAGATACCGAAAAAATCCCAGCTGACAGACGACAGGCCAAAAGCACAGAAGTTGACACACCCTGGCCCAAACTGGCGCACCATGGCCCAAACTGGTGCATCCTGGCCCAAACTGATGTACCATGGCCCGAACTGATGTATCCGGGTCTAAACTGACGCACCCTGACCCAAAATGCCACGAACTGACGCCTCCAAAAGCCCGTGAATTGGCGGATGTTAGACCAAATCCACGAACACGACTGACGTCACTGGGGTTGCGGTAAGCCGAACTGTAACCGGGGCAAACAAGCAGTCAGGCTTCACTGCACGGACTGATCATGCATGTCCTTAAGATGGCATCTTCGGTCCAGTTACACGTAAATTTACCACCAGTGCACCGGTGTACAGCATACAAACTCCAGGCCACATACAAATAAAACCAAAGAACTAGAGAATGCCGCTCTATACAGTTGTATCTAAAATCGTGGGCGTATAGGCAATATGCGGGTCTACCCAAATAGGGGTACGCATGACGTCATAACGGCCTGACGCTTGACATCCACGTCACTGAACCAGGCAGAGCAAGCCCACAAGGGAACAAACGACTTTGACGATACGTGACAAACAAACGATAGACGACGAACATGCTTATCTTGACTTTGGTGATCTTGACTTTGGTGCAACTTTGACTTCATTTGACTTTCTTGACTATCTTGACTTTTGGTGCAAGCAGACAGACCTTCGTGTATGACCATCTCTATACGTAAACCTTAAACCATTGCTGCACCGGCTCACGGACAGACCGCAAGACACTCAGACAAAGCTTAAACTAAAAGACGTCAAATTGCATACTTTGGACCGTTGACTGATTGAACTGGTTGACTGAGCGATGAATCCGCGCAGTCAGTTGCTAAACTTACTTAAGTGCTGATTTATTGCATTTCTTACTGGTTTGTAACCGATAAAGTTCAGGCTTTCTGGCTAACTCGTCAAAAGAACAGACCAGTTTTGAACAAATGGCACGACTGATTTGTAACTGGCAAAGCTCAGGGTCCTGAACGCTGCTTCAACAGCAGTTCTTTTAATTCGGACAAATGATACAGAGTAAACCAAAGCAAGTGAGAAAACACCAACTATTAGCACGTTTCAGAAAGTCGCAGATTCCAGACCAGTGTCACGTGACGAACGCTAGGGATATATTCGCAGCGACCCAACGACAAAGAATCTATGCCGTCGGCGTCACCTGTGACGTCGTACCCCTTAATTCTGCACCTTTCGGTCTTTGAAGCGACCCGGACGAAAAATGTTCTGCGTAACGTCATATGGAATCGGGAGGCGCAGAATCCTTTTATGCGACTCGATCGGAGTGATGCCGAAATGGCGAACAGATTCAGTTATGAAGAGGTCCGTTTGCGTGACCAGGACCGACCACGACTCATGAAAGCAGTTTCATATGTTACAATCAGCAAAAGCTGCAGTTTCCATTGTCAGGAGCACTCATAGCAAGCGCAAACGAAAACCTTGTGTCTTTACATGCGCAGTTATTGTCACGATAGTTACAAAGATGTAAACAGGAAACGTCTCGCGCTGCGAACACGTGTGGCTAAGACTCTTCGTGACGTCACGTGGAATAAAAGATTTTTCGTGGACTTCAACAACCTGACGATGACAGACACAAAACCAGTGTCACGTGATGGACTCTTCACCGATGTTACATAGCGACTATGTTATTGGACCCTGGACCAACATTCCTCGACGGACGCTAGACCAGTGGCACGTGATGGACGCTAAACGCACGTCACATTTCATATAACAGATGATTGACACATGACGTACGTAGGTAGGTCATTACGACGTGAGCAACACTGGTCAATTTCGCTCGACGGAACACAAACCAATGCCACATGCCCTAAACACCATACCAAAGTCACACGGTATACCCCAGAGCGTTACCAAGTGGCGATAAAATCACTTGACACTTGACTGACCCTAGACCTATGTCCCATAACAGACCGCAGACCAGCGCTCCATAGCAGAGTAGAACAGTGGCGTAAGGCGGACCCCAGACCAGGGTTATGGGACGCATCGTAAACCAATGTCATGTAATGAGCTCTGAGCCATTGTCAAATGAAGAACACTAAACCAGTGCTCCAAAGTAGACGCTAAATCTGCCCCTATCCCGAATTCCAGGTCTGTGTCAACTGACCAGCCCCCGATCAATGTCACATGACGAGCGTGAGTGCCACGTGACGTAAGGTGGAGCAGTGTCACGTGACATACTCGACATCAGTGTTGCGTGACGGACG